ACAGTTTAGTGCCACATACGTGCATATATTGTACACTTAGCACATACAGTATACACACATACATGGTATTCTCTTTACCCTCATCCCTCCCACCCCAACCTCAAATTTAACTGTTGAACTACAAACCCCCTACCACATCCCCAAGAGTAAGCATGCAATTTCCTCGCTAGCTTTTTTACTGCTGCTTTTGCTTAGTTAGGTGTGGCATGACATGCAAGATGCCTCCACACACTGCATAAAGTTTATCTGGTAGGAAATTTACTGCTCACTTTCTAAAAGAGAAAAACAAACAAAACATTTATTTTAAATTAAAGAGTTGCAATTCAGTTAGAGTAACTCACATCCCATGGAAAGTTGTCAGCCTTGGCCAATACATGATTGCAAGTACAGAAAGTTGTACTGGAGGAAGCCCTGGGTGATACCTACAGCCTTTAAAACATCTAACTGATACCGTCTCAGACAGCTCCTTGCCCTACTACTTTCTAGATATGCCCCTGCTCAAGTGTGGCAGGAATATCCCTCCTTGTGCAAATAAAAAAAAAACACCTAATCAAATGCCTGCTAAACATCCAATGTCACACTACGCAATTTTCAAATCATCAAGCATTTACTCATAAACAAAGTCAGTTATTCTTGTATCCATTGTACTGTTACCTGACGCAGATTCCTGGTTACTTTCACATCATGCCAGGCATTGTCATTAAATTTCCCATTCACAGGTTCCACCAGCGCTTCAAAGGCCCCTGAGCCCAAATTAATGACCAAGGACACAGCTCCATTTTTCAGTGCAAGATTGACATAATCAGCCGATTTTCCTGTGTGAAGCATCAGTCCGTTCCTCTGAAGTGTTTTAAAGGACAGAGTTATTTCGTCACTGCTACTCTGTATGGGATTCTGAGATAAATCATAGCAGAAGTATTCTGATCCCTTGAACGTCGCAATATATTCTTCTTTTCCTGACAAACAAAAGGAGAGAAACAACCAAATAAATCACTGGCACATAATTAAAAGCAACTTGCATAAAATATTTTCGACAGTATTACTATAAGCACTGTATCAGAAAGTAATTCAATTAAAACACTTAAAGTCTAAGAAGGAAAAAAAAATAAGATTTACTGTGAACATTTTAAACTGATTTCTTATAGAATTTTCATAAGCATGATTAAACTCAGAAAATATACTGCATCAACAATTGTCTTAATGTTATTTCAACCATCTGATCTACATTTAAGTACCAAACGCTGAGCTGAATGTGTAAACCAAAGCATTATTCCAGTCAAACCCCAGATTCTTTTCATTCCCGACTCTCACTAAAATCATGGCATCTCAAAAAGAATCAATAACCTGGACATCTCAAAGTGCTCTGGTCTAAGGTCTTAAATCAAAACTACAAGCTACTCAATTTAGAGTCTACCTCATTCAAACCCGCACACAGCACCACGCTGATGCCAGTTAACACACATCAGTAAATAAATAGGGTTTTTTTCCAGGATGTATTTTCACTAGCCAGTGCGTGCCACACAAGTTATTTTTCTTAGTTTATCACGAAGGCAACTAAGAAACACAAACAGCACAAGTTAAGCTTTTGGTCTCATCAGAAAAGCAAGCATAAATATATGGGGATTATGTTCTCCCCTTGAGTCCTACAGAGGAACACGTATGCTGACCTACACTGTGTACAGAGTTTAGAGCTACGTGAAGTCAGGATTTATTAATTTAGCTAAAAATAAGCGGTAGCAAAATTTCAATGGAAATCCATACATGTTGGTGCAGTAACAGGATGAAAGTATAAAAACCTGAGGATGTCAAATTTCACCATTTTTGATAAACAATTCAGTCTCCAAAACACAGCTGCATAAGTTAGTCTGTGATACCATCAGCACAAACCCCAAACATATTTATAAATATACAGATAAGGGAAATAACAACAGTGTGAGTTTAAAAGCGACCAACGAACGACAGAACATGCAAAAAGCAGGCATCAGAACACATTGGTTAATGTTATTTTTTCAAGTCCCCAAGCATTTTTGTCTTCTGTTGTTCCGTGTCATCTGTTTGCAACCCCCTGCAGTAGACTATACATGAACACAGATGCTAGATATGTGCATTGCTTCTATTCAGCCAGTAGAGCATAGAAAGTTCAGATAGTACTGCAAAGGAGCTTCAGATAGAAATCCAGAAAGCAAGTACATTTTGCCTTAACTTTGCTTTGTAATAAGAATATTAAAAATTATTGGTCTGCATTTATTTTGAAGTGCTATCTCACAGATTTGATGCAGAATTTTTTTTTGTGTGTGTGGCAAAAGCCAAAGCCTAACTTAGTAAATAAACACTATTAAAAAAAATAATACTAATCATGTTTCCAGTTACAGAGTAAGCACTATTCCTCTATTACCAGCAGCAGCAGATCACACACAGCACACAGTCCTTTTCCTGTATTGACTGTTCACCCCACAGACTAAATATGCCTTGGGAGCCAGGGATGATGAAGACATGCTACATTCTAACCAGGATGTAGGGCTGTATTATCTACACAGCTAGGACCTCTAAGGACAAATCCAACCACCTTTCTGGGGAGAAGATGATAAATAGTCATCCTTAGGAGTATAAGTGATGGCACGGTGATAAAAGCTCCAACAGAACTGGTGTCTCACCCTCCCAGTTTCAGGGCAGCCAGAGTTTTGAGATTTTCATTTCTTATTTTTAACATGAAATTCCATTCTGGACAAAAATTACATTCTTCGAGATGTTCTGACTAATGCTTACTATGGAGAGAAAAACATTTAACTGTCATTAACTGGTATGTTTAATAATCTTCCTACGAGGTATTTAAACAAGTGTTAGATAAGGTGCAGTTCTTCCCTCCCCCGACTGTGCCACCACTTCAGCACGTGAGCTGATCAAAATTAACCAGCATATGTAGCTTCCCCAAATTCAGGGGGTGGGGAGAGATCCTATTTGCAGCATTTCTGGAAAGAATTAATGAATCTGAAGTTTAATTTAATCACTAAGTTCAGCAACAAAACTGTAAAGAAAGTTTGAATCTAAAGTCTTGGGAGTTAAAAAAAATAAATATCTTTTAAGTTATGCCAAAGCATTCCATTTTGAAACAAATTACTTAGATTTGCATCAAAGTAGTATTCATTTGTTTACAAATTTAAACTGGGGAAAAAAAAAGCGAGAACTGAGCATAACACTTTATTTTAGAAAAATATTTTCCTTCAAAAACATGAACTCTGTGGATAAGAACTTTAATTGCGTATATTTCCTGCCAAACTATCTTTTTTGCTCACCTGCCAAACCAAAAACATCCATTATTTGCTATTTTTACATTGTAGGATTGAGTTTCACACACTTGGTCTTCAGAACTCACTGCAATACTCTGATACAAACCTCGTACCAGGACCCCATGAGGGCAGGATCTAGTGCATCAGAGCACTAACACCCATCAGGTAGGGTGCATCCATACTTCTGTAAGTGGGAGATGTTCTCAACACCAGTATGGCAGCCATGGGTCACAGAGTCCTAGAATGGTTTGGGTTAGAATGAGCTAATTCCAACCCCCTGCCCTGGGCAGGGACACCTCCCACCAGACCAGGTTGCTCAAAGCCCCATCCAGCCTGGCCTTGAACCCCTCCAGGGATGGGGCAGCCACAGCTTCTCTGGGCAACCTGTTCCAGTGTCTCACCACCCTCACAGGAAAGAGCTTCTTCCTGAGATCTCATCTAAATCTTTCAGTTTAAAAGCCATTATTCCTCGCCCTATCGCTCCCCTCCCCAAGAAAGAGTCCCTCTCCCCATCTTTCCTGTAGCCTTCTTCAGGTACTGGAAGGGGTTATAAGGTCTCAATCTAAATCTTTCAGTTTAAAAGCCATTATTCCTCGCCCTATCGCTCCCCTCCCCAAGAAAGAGTCCCTCTCCCCATCTTTCCTGTAGCATTGCTCCTCGCCCTATCGCTCCCCTCCGAGCAAGAGTCCCTCTCCCCAGCTCTCCTGTAGCCTTCAAGTACTGGAAGGGGCTATAAAGGTCTCCCCGGAGCCTTCTGAACAACTCCAGCTCTCTCAGCCTGTCTTCACAGGAGAGGTGCTCCAGCCCTCTGAGCGTTTTCATGGTCCTCTGCTGGACCCGTTCCAACAGGTCCATGTCCTTCCTGTGCTGAGGACTCCAGAGCTGGATGCAGTTCTCCAGGTGGGGTCTCACCACAATGGAGTAGAGTGAGCCTCCCTTCTGTGGGATTCAAAACACCTTCCAAACTTCCAGTTACGCCATTAGGGGGACCCTGAATCAAGGGCATCATTCTTCATCTGGATTGGCTCCGACAACGTCACCTCCCAAACTTCCAGTTATGCCATTAGGGGGACCCTGAATGAAGGGCATCATTCTTCATCTGGATTGGCTCCATTTTGTAGGTTTCCTTTGCCTTTTAAGTGGCCCATAACTATTAAAGCTAAAAGGCTGCTGGACGGCCAGCTCCCAGAGGGGCACAAGGACAGCCAGGAGCTCAGACATCCTGTCTTGTGATTCTGGCAATCTCAACATCTCGTTTCTGTAGGGAAATCAAACTTTACCAGTAAATCCTCCAGGCAACTGCCAGCTGTAAGTGCAGAGGCACTTCCCTTTTTCTCAGTAGTTACTACGTTTTCAGTAAAACTCATTAAATCGAGATTTCTGATGTAAATGGCTTTTAGGAAGCTACAGTTGAAAAACATTGAAATGATTCAGCACCATTTTAATATATTAGGAAATCTGCTTTTGTTGATAGCTAAAAGAATAGCTAAAAGTAGTTTAAAAGGAAGTTAAAAGAAGTTTCATCTTTATTCAGATGAGTTTCAGCACAAAAGAAAATTTAAGAAGTCCAACAGACAAAAGGCCACAGGGCTTGACTGAGCAGTTAATGAGACAGTCTGGAAACTCCACTGGATCGTCAGCTCATGTTCCAGTAGGTGCTGCCTGCTAAGAACTACAATGCTTTCCACAGGCACCTGACAACTGAAAATACTTGGCATTACAGAAGAATGAATGCTGAAAAATACCGGTTTCAAATGACTCAAGGGAGACGAGGTGCACAGTATCTTTTCACAGGAAGCATCTCAACAAAACAAAGTATTTCCTATTAATCTGAAGAGATATCCATAGCGTGCATTCAAATAATATCTACTATGACAATATTCTAATTTGGTCAAACTGCACATAATACAGAAATCATTTGAGGGAGGGAAGGTACGGATAAACTATCTCCACATTTCTCCAGTCTCTGGAGTAATGAAAAATTAAAACTCGCTTCTCATGATCAGTCTTGAAGGAGGGGGGATATGGATAAACTATCTCCACATTTCTACAGTCTCTGGAGTAATGCATTCCCCACGAAAAATTAAAACTCGCTTCTCATGATCAGTTGGATGCAACCTCAGACATCCTTGCCCTCATTCACAGAGTCACAGAATGGTAAGGGTTGGAAGGGACCCCTGGAGATCATCTAGTCCAACCCCCCTGCCAGAGCAGGGTCACCCAGAGCAGGTTGCACATGAACTCATACACATGGGTTTAGAAAAACTCCAGATAAAAGGACTTCACACCCTCCCTGGGCAGCCTCTCCAGGGCTCTGGCACCCTCAAAGTAAAGAAGTTTTTGCACATGTTCAGATGGAACTTCCTGTGTTCCAATATGGCACTGACATTTGGAAGGTGATCAGCCCCTGCAACTGCAACACTGCCTCATCGCAGCCGGCTAGGAAATGGGAAGATATAAGGTCAAACAGCCACAGCTCTGCCACTGTGGCTTCAGTATAGGTTAGTAAAGATTCAGAAAACCTAAGAATAGGAAATCAGGTTACAAAGCTTTGTTGTGTTTTGTCCACTGTCTCATCAAAGCCAGCTAGGAAATGGGAAGATATAAGGTCAAACAGCCACAGCTCTGCCCCTGTGTGGCTTCAGTATAGGTTTTCTGAATCTTTACTA